TGAAAAACCTACATACTGTATGAGGTAATGTAATTAAATTATCAGAAAGACTTTAGTCAGGCTGAGGTGACCATATTTCGTTAGGAGGTCTGCTTTCTTGGAAATGAGAAAGAATGTCTATAAATGTGTGTATTTCTGTCATGTCAGGTCATGTTAATGCACATTCATTTAGGCTGGCAATGCAGGCTCACAGCTGGCTTGACAGGAGGCCACTAAGACCAACTGCTGTCCCCAAACCTCAAAACTGGCCTTCCTGTTGCTCTGTGTGAATTGTTGTTACTTCTGTAAATACAAATTAATCCGAAGCTTACTACAGTCGTACTACTACTAGAGTAATGCATCAGTCAGTTCATTATACCCACATATATTTGGTTGTGTTAACATGTTTAACATGTATATCATATAACTGCATTATAGAACTATAAAGGGCTTAAAGTACTAGGAGAGATCTACTTCATCATAGTGGTTCTTGCTGCCTTGAATATCATTGTGTCCTCTTCATAACCACAGGCACTGTCCAATATTATGATATTCTGGAGTTCTGGAGTCCAAACATTCACCATGTTTTCAGATTTTTTGCATACCGGGATTTCGAGAACCCAGAGAATATGATTGTCTGTGTTAATTTGGACATAACCACTGACCAATCAAGAAGACTTTGAAGGAGATTATTTCTGGCCCCTGGAATGTCTTCTCAAGTCTGCAAGTTTGCTTTTAAGGATTACATGCTAAATATTATCATTTTACACTAAATGAGCTTCAGAGGACTAAAGCCTGCAGTTCTCACTGACCTCTCATCAGTGTGATTAATGCTACAAATGCTGCCCTTACCATCCCCAATATGGCAATACGGTCTTTTTGCTGACATTGCTGGTCCGCTACAGCTCACGCCCTTGGTGGTGTGTTACAGCGTTCGCCCTCACATAAGCAGGGAAGGAATTCTTTTATTACTAGTGAGCAGTCTGGTTTGTTTCTGTCTTTGTCTCACACAACACCCACACTGCAACCAACTATTCTGTAAATCAAACTACGACAGTTCCGACCTCCATTTGCATCTGTTGTCATGTTATTTCCAAAGAGCCTATTACTGTCCTATATATACTAGTATGGGTTTACCGAGCTGGGTTTACAGTATAAGTATCTATTCACGTATATTCTTCTGCCACAGATCAGTCTTAATTTTAACTTAGAGGCAATGCTCTTTAAAATAGTTCAGTCTGCTTTGCTTTGCTGCTCTAGTAACATTTTACATGTTCATATAAAGAAAAACTTTTGAGTCTGTTAATGATTTTTTTTCCAAGAGATCTTTTGATAAAAAGAGCTGATAAAACTATCTATAAAGCTTATTTAATATATATTTAATTTCTTTATCCTCCATGAAATGTTCTAGTAACTGAAGAGTTCAATTCACGGTACTTTTGGCTGAGCTAAACTTGCCATGTTATGCAGAGATTTGTTGAAAAAACAACACTGTTTCTATCTGCATAGGTGAAAATACGATCGGCATTTGTGATAAAATAAGTTTTCTTTTTTCTTAGCAGCTAAGATCCTATGAGATGCTGGATTACACCCTGAATGAAACATTTTACGGGAGCAGAAAGACTGTGTTCAGATACAAATGCAGAGAGTATATCGTTTATAAGCAGATATTAAGTACTAGTAACCCCTAAAAATGTTCATTATGTTTTAAAATAAGCTGTGTTCCATGCAGATGTCTCACTGTGTTCAGAAGAATCTGTGTCCAAGAATACTATCCTGAGACTACATGCATAACAATATGTTCCCAATGGACAGGGTTTTGAATTGTCAGCGATATGTTATCTAGCCAAGTCTGGTGCTTCTCTCACAAAGTGAGCAGCCTTCACAGTAAGTAAAGGAAAAGTGCAGCCTTGTCAGAACGATTCTTTTTGTAGCAATGAGCTTCACAGCATCACTTGACAAATACACAGGCAAGCCCTGTTCTGTTGCTGACTGTGTAACAGCATATCATCACAATTCTTTAGGCATATCCCAAAAAAAAATTTAATTTTGAAAAAAAAAATGGTTGATGGAAATAAAGACTTTGACTTTGATAAATAATAACACATGCTAACAAAGCACTTGAGAATTTTGCTTCATGTTTCTTTTACCCAGAGTATTTTTAGAGACAGGGAAGTCTAAGTACATTTCTAGCTGAATTATAACATTCCATTGATATTCAACATCTACCTTTGATGGAAAAATGATTATGTGTAAGATGTTAATTCATTACAAGCTTCCTAATGAATCAATTTCATCCAAAAAAGCAATATCTGTATTCCAGTGAAAAATCAACTAACAAAGCATTGTACTGAAAGCTTTGTCTCCCACGATAATCAGAATAGTAGATATTGCATCTTGTGTTTTTACTCTTTTACAACAGTTGTGTGCGTACATCACAATGATAATTCAATTCAATTTAATTTTATTTGAAGTTGACATTATCTCTGCCCAAAGTTACTGGGAAGTTTGGGGGTTGATGGCAGGATTGGCACTCCAGCCACCAGAAAAATCTCACACTGGTCCATTTGGACTAGTGTGGTGCTGAGGTATCACCCACTGCATGGCTGCACTCAGGTTCTCATCCCTGAGGTGGTTCGTTGTGTGGTGGGTGTGACCATGCACTGTAATCAGTGTGTGCCCCCTTACTTACCTGCCCAAAGCCCCTAGTGAGCAAGTTAGAGGCGATAGTGGCAAGGAAAAACTCCCTTGGGAGGAACCAGACTCAAAGGGGGAACTCATCCTCCAGGGGGCGGCAGAGGAAGTGAAATTAACAAAGTAACAAAATCCTAATATATACAATGCAAATTTTAAGATGTCGGTCTAAATGCAGAGGGCAGGCATGGTGCTGATGGTGCTGCTTCTGACAGCAGGATGAATGGTGGTACAGCAGCAGGGCAGGCAGGAGAGACGTCACAGGTAGTAGGAGCAGCGCAGACAGCAGGGTAGGGGAAATAAAAAGTGCATTAGCCAAGGTAGGGGAGACTAGAGGCAGTGCAAACAGTTAGGTGAGTGCAATATGTATGGTTATGGCAGCATAAGTAGGAGGGAGAGGCAAGTGAACGTAGACATGGGGAGTCCCTGAAATGTCAGCACTCCAATTCCACAAGGGGGTGTGTAGCTAGAATGACAGCACTGACAGTTCAGTATTTTATAACACAAACTAAAATGAATCTAAAAATACCCTCTGAAAACAATTATAAAGTCAGAAAATGATCAAGAAATCAGTAATCAAAAGGTATTGCAGACATCAGATCATGACAGTTGGTTTTGGACTTTAAATCAAAATGTTTCATTTGCCTCAGCAATAGACATACAAGCCGGGTTTGTTTATACAGAATGACTTATGACAGAAATGGGTGATGTGTGAACAAGGATGCATTTAAGGACAAGATTAAACTGGGTGTACTGCATGTGTCCTGCGACGCTCCCCCTGTCAGCTCTTGGCAGGCTATCCCAAACGCTTTATCGCTTTCTCCCACCAGGGGCTTCCTCCCTGCTGTTTTAGTTGTTAAAATTCAGGATGCAATCTGGAAGATATAACAGCAGGATCTGGCATCCTGATTTTTTCTATCTGTTGTCTTTACCATCCACAATATTCCGTTTTCAGCATCCAGTAATTGGCTTTGCAGCAGGACTGTGCTGGACATTGGTAGATCGGCAGAGGTGACAAGGCGTTTTCCAGAATATGTAAATTAAAAAAAATGCAAAAAGTGTTGGGAATTGACAGAGACCTCCTGTTTCGATATTATATCAAAATTTGTTTAGAGAGTCATTTTAAAAATAGCTTTTGCTTAAGGTCTACTTTTAAAGTAAAGACCATCTGTAATGGTACACTTATTCGTCATGTGCCGTACATGATTTTCCCTTAGGAGCACACAGTGAAATGAATAAATACTTTTTTTGATGCAGGTGAAACCTAAATTAACAAGTAGGCATTCAACATGGAAAACATTACGCTAATTGTGGCTGAGTCAGTTTGGTTATGGCTAATGCTGCTAATGAGAGCTCACAGACCCTCCCATGCAGAAGCTGCAAGACATTCTCGCCATTCGTCATTTTTCACAGACAGGGTCGTAAAAGTTTGTCATAATCTAATTTTCATTTTTAATATGTCAGGGACAGCACCCGTCTGACCCCGCCCTCTGTGACGTTTCCCCCTTTCCCCCTTTCTGTCATATATTCCATCTCTGTCCTATGTGTTTGGTTCCTGTTTGGCCAGGAGGTGTTGCTGGCTGTCCTGTTCCCTGTCTTAGTCCCAAGTCCCTTGTATTTTCCCCTGTACTACACATTGCCACATAGCTTAATGGGCTGAGTGCTCAGTTTGGAGGCTGTGAGCCCTCTGATCATGGATTCTAAGCCAGCCTCACCTGTTGCTTGCATTTTTTGGTTTTCTGTTTCCTAGGGGTTGTTATTAGTTATCTTTGTTTCCCTGCTTTAGTTTGCCCTGCTTGTGCCCTGTTATAGTTTGGGTCTGCTTGTACTTTTGTTCCGTGTGTATTATCCTAGTGTTGTACTCTTAGTGTGTGCTTAATGTTTCTTAGTTCCTGTGCTTGTTAAGATTCCCTAATTTGGTGCTCATTAATTGAAAGTTACATCACCTGTTGCTTATTGGCCTGTGTCTCTGCTGATTGGTTGTTTTTCTTCATATGCCACACCTACCCCCTAGTTAGCCTGGTTGTCTGTTTGTATTTAACTGTTGTTAGTTATGGAAAGTTTGCAGTCACAAGTGAACAGTTGATTATTTCAGCAAGCCAGCCTTCTGTGCTCTCTGATTGTATTGTTTACTTGGTTTTATTAAACTGAATCATTCAGCAAGTAGGAATTAACCACCTATCATTGCATTACTCTCCAGTTCAATACCACTCCATCTGAACCATGTGCCTTTTCCACTCATAATGATAGCACTTGTAATTGTGAAGCTATTATCCATAACTCAACTGGTCCACAGTCCATTTTTGAGAAAATTTCAGTGCAATTAGTGAGTTTTGGAAAATTTTAATAAGCTATTGGTTGGATTCCATTACAAAACAGAAATATATTTAAATATATGGACATTAATATTTTTTTGGAAAATATAATGCAAAAATATACTGCAACATATTGAAAAAGACAAGGAATTGCTGGTTTTCATATAATGTGAAATATATGTACACCATATTTGTGATTATACATATTGCGCACTACAGCGCCTTCCTGCATGGGAAAGGCCTGACTGCTTCTGGTTTGGGGCAGGGAGGTCAGTTTTCCTATCCAGTACTGAATGATTAAAAGAAACATATCTCCACCCTTCCCAGAGCTGCCAGAAACATCTGAACAACTGGCACACATTTACAAAGTGCTGGGCCAACATCAACACCCTGGACAGACTCTCTTCCACATGGTCAGGTGGGATGCCATCCCTTACTCACTTCCCAGACAATTTCCTGGACCCCATCACACAGAACTGTAAAGCTAAACTCCACCTATGTCTTCCTCAAGCAGTGATAGTCTTCTCCTTCCCAGGGTGGCCAGGGAGGAACACCACAATCAGATGTCCACGCACTCGCTGGCCATCATCTTCTCCTCCACCTTCCTGTGCAGTCCTGACACCATGAATTCTCCTGAAATCATGAAAGACATGAACAAGGCCACCATGTCAGTACCTCACTTACTTTCAGGCACAGATCACCAAAGCTTCCGGGCTTGTTCCTCCAAAAGTCTGTAGGCTGCTTCGGCCTCACTCCTCGTGACTGCCTTTCCATGTTTACCATCTACACAGGTGTCTGGAGCTCATCCTAAATGAGCAGATGAGGTCCTATGAGAAGCTGAAGGAGCTGGAGCAGCTTGAGTATCCTGAAGCCCTGGCCATGAAGCAGCCAAAGCGGCAAGACACTAAACCCCAGAGCCTGAGGTCACGGCTAATATATGGCTTTTTGTGATGCTCATATTGTTACCCCTGTCAGATGTGTGACTGAGGAATGCCCATGTGATCTGAAATGCAATTGAAGCCACCAGCAGATGAGGCTGCCTTCGATGACAGCGAGTCTGTCAATGCAGACACAGAGAATGACAATGAAGTGGAGCCATTGATGGACCCATCATCTGCTTCTTCTGTGTCCTAGAAGGAACCTCAGAACCCCAAGGACCAGAACCAGCCCACCTGAGAAGAGAATATGGGGTCCCCAAACCACCCCAGTCTTTCTTTAACTGTTATTAGTTATGAAAAAATTGCAGTCACAAGTCTATTAAAAGCAGTTGAATCTGGATATTATTTCAACAAGCCAGCGTCCTGCACTCTCTGATTGTATTGTTTAATTTTTGTTATTACGGAAAGTCCTTCAGCAAGCAAAAATTAATCACCTGTCATTGCATTACTCTCCAACTCAATACCGATCCTTCGGAACCATGCACCTTTTCCACTGATAATGATAGCTCTTGTAATTTTCAAGTAATTTCAATTCAAAGTTCATTTCAACGTCAACTATGCCACTCCCAAGAATTTCACCCAGAGGAAATTAACAATTCAACCACATTGGTCACAAAAGGGAGCACTCAAGTTTGAAAAATGCTTTAAGGGTCAGAGACATGATTCTCAAAACATACAAATTAACAATTTGGAAAAAAAAAAAATGCACAATAAGATTAAGATTAAGACTGATCAATCAACTAATATTACATCTGGAAACTCATACCAGCTTAAACCCACTAAGTGTATACTTCAAATTACCACAATACATTAGTCACATGCAACAGAATTAATGCAATCAGACCCTTCTCAAAATAATCACCATTCATATGACATCTCTGGACCAAAAAGAGCATACCGTGGTACAATTAAAGTTTTGTTAGATCATCTAAGTGTTCTAATCTAGCAAAATGACAGATAGCCTTCAGATCTATTCATCATTGTTAAAAATATTCAGTCAAAGACAGAAAATATTTGATTAATGTAACCTCATGTCACACCCTGCATCCCTTCCCCCTCGTTCTCTCCATTGTATGGCTCTAACAAGCCACACCTGTTACTTGTTTAATCCTTCTTCTCATTACAGCCCTTGTGTGGATCACCCCAGGTGCCTCTCATCTGCTTCCTCATCAGTGATGTATATAGTGCCTCCCTGTGTTGAAATCCCCAGTCTAGTCATTGATGTTGCCTGTGTGTATGTGCCCCAGTTTGCCCTGATCCATCCTGCCCTGTTTTGACCCCTTGTGGTCTGTTCCCTTTTGCCCTGCATATAGTTTCATTTAATAAACCCCCTTTTGGTTTTCCCCACGCCTGCCTTTGTCTCTGTCCTTGCCTTTGATGTGAGACCTCAGCTCCCACGTCACTTAAATCAGTAGTTTGGGAACATTTTGGCTTCCCAATAAATTATGCTAACACTGGAAAGAGAATAGATAAGACCAAGACTGTCTGTTGGCTCTTATACTGGACTCTGGAATGCTGCTGGAAACACATCCAATGTTCTAAATAGTTTGAAACAACATTATCTGTATGTGTATAACCAGGGAAAGGCTGAAAGAACCTCTGCAAGTTAGTCTTCCTGTAGCACTTTTGGCAACTTTGCCAAGAAATTCATTCAGCTGAAAAATAACTATGGCTATAGGGGTGTTTATCACTACAGATATGCAATCATACTCTGTGGTAGAGAATCAAATATTTAGTTCATTATGCTATGATGCCGTCTTATTTTTTATTTTTTTTGTTTTGTGTGTTTATTTTTAGAGTGCAAATGAGCAACTGTTAGGTTGTTATTAAGACATGTCAATAGGCACGCCACCTAGTGGCTGTCATGAGGCAGTGTTATTTTGGGGCTCTTGGGCTGAAAAGCTTGGAAACCTGTGGGCTATATCTTTGTGCCTTGTGATGCCTGGGGTTGGCTGCAGGTCCTAATACAGTTAAAACATGAATTCTGAATCATGTGAAGATAGGAAAGTTTTGGAGATCGTGACAGGAAAGTTCTTCATGTTCGACTCCAAGACCAGAACCACATCTGTGTTTCTTCACTAATACCGATAGCCCACAGAGCATTCAACATGCATATCCTGTCAAACAATCAAAAATGCAGCACTTCATTTGCTATAAGAATGTCCATGCAGCAGAATTTTTAAATCTAAAAAATTTGATTTAAAAAATTAAATTTTGAATTATTTCTGAGGGATTATTATATGATTTCAGAATGATACAAAGATTAAAAATGTTGGCATTGACATTTGCCATTGACATAATTTTGAAGGCAAGATAGTTTCCATAGCAGCCATGTATAATTAACAATTATGTCCCTCACTGGAGCAAATTTAATGTTTCCTACTTGTGACTGAAAGTCTCTGAGTAGCAATTTTTTTTTTCAATTAATTAGATATGATATATTTAAAAATGACACCAAAAAGATAACAGTTTTATTGTACGGTCCTTAATCCTGTTTTACATATCACTATACACCTTAGAATCTCCCTAATTTCTTTATGCTTCCAAATAAGTTTTTTTTCCATTCACAAACCATTTCATTTCTTTATGCTTCTGAATGACCATTTTCTACTTGTACTGTAGCACAAGATCAGCAGCTGCCGTCTATACGTACAAAAACAGGTCCCAGGCGCTCCAGATAAGCTCAGCATGACCCAGTGACATCACACTGACAGCTAATTGTAGCATTCATTAGCATGTTCTAAGAGGTGGCCTATAAACCAGTCGTCGTCCTTGCTGTCACACTTGTGATTGTCAGACTCAACTTTACTGCATTGTGAAAAAACAAAGAAGAAAAACTTTATGTTTTCGTCATGGTCATCTGCTACCTGAAAAACAATCAGAATCTATAATAAATCCTGTGATTCTCTGGTTATTGTGCTGCTCCTTCCGTCATTCATCTGGCTTCCTGTCAAACCGATGCTTCATTTCCTGCTCCTCTGTTTCACTGTGTCTCCCCTTCGTCCACATGCTCATTTTCATCACGGCCCAGTTGATTCCAGGCAGATAATGGCAATTTGCAGTAATGAGGCAGGGGGCTTATCTTGCCCTGCCTCTGCTCAATGCCAGTTAACTTTTCAAACTAAGGAACTATTGCTGCAATTCATGCAAAGGGTGAGTCTGCGTCTCAAACTACGTTGCCTGGGGGGACACAAAAGCGCAATGGGAGATGATGGAAGGGCAGTACAATACTATTGCAGCATCTCAGTCTTGGGAAGGGGGTCTAGTTTTATTTGAAACAGTTTCTTTTTGTGGTTGCCATTGTTGTTGCTGTTGTTGGGGGTCTCCCTAAAGGGCAGAATGATTGTAGGAGGCCTGTAAGACCCTGAAGTTGGGGGTTTGGGCCCCCGAGAGAGGGGGAGTTTGGCGTGCTTTTACTCTCTCATGCTGGTGTTCAGTTAGGGCAACATTTCTCAACCTAGTCCTCGGTGACCCACGCTTTTGTTCCCTCCAAGCTCCCAACACACCTGAACCAAACAAACAAGAAGGAACCAAACAATCAAGACCATCAAATACCTGGTACAGGTGTGTTGGGAGCTGGGGGGCCCTGAGCACTGGATTGTTGAAAATAGTTTATTCAACTTGCAGAGCATAACCTCTATGATACATTAAATTCATTCACACATGTCAGCTGATATTCTACTTGACCGTAAAATCTTCATTATTTTAGCCATCTGATAAAACAAAGAAAATTATTTTAAAAACCTTTAAATACAAACTTTGCTCGTATTTCATTTCATGTGGATAATGTTGTATAATTGTACAAGATTTCCACATTTTTGTGTAATATTGGTTGATAGATCATTTTCTTTTGTTTTTATTTAATCATAGTTCCCTTTTCCAGGGAACACAGAATGTATCCAGCTGGCTGAATTTCAACACGTTAGGGATTAGCCTGAGAAGAACATAATTCTTGCAGCTGTTAGTTCTAACATATTGTTGTTTCTTCTACTTCCTACTATGCATTGAGGAGGAAGATCCAAGATAAAGAACATTAAATGCCATAGAAACCTACTGTGATTATTTTCTGCATGCAGAGTGTCCATGAACATCTGTTTTTGTTTATAAGTCTCAGGCCTTTGAAGAGGCTGCCAATTCACATTGAGGAAATTAGTCTTAGTCATTCCACTGATTTTTCAATAAGCAAACTTTTTCAATAAACTTTTTTTTTTCCTGATAAACATATATACCAAATATTAGTTGAGTGAAATGGCTTTCATGCATAAATTAATTAGTAACAGCTAATACTGAATAGTGAAATAACTAAAAATGAGTTTGAGGTCCTTTCATGAAACAAAAAATTATTTTCATTCCTCAGGCATAAATCGTGCACATTTGCATTGTTGTTTACTGACAGCTCTGTGGGAAACATAGAAAACTTTAAATGAAAGGAGCATTGATGTCCAGAACATTGCTGTCCAAGGGGTCATGTATGCAGTGGATCCCCGTAATGCCAACTACAACCTTCTAACCGGTCCAAGAGGATATTACGGTCCACAGTATCGAATGATGCAGTTAAATCTAGTAATACCAACAGAGATACAGCCACGGTCAGAAGCCATAAGTAAATCATTCATTACTTTGACTAGAGCAGTTTCTGTGCTATGGTTTGGTCTAAAGCCAGACTGATATAATTCATTAGTATTATTTTTTTTGTAGGAAAGAAGACAACTGATGAACTACAACCTTTTCCATGATCTTTGAAATGAAAGGAAGATTTGAGATTGGTCTATAGTTTCCTAAAACACTAGGTTCAAGATTTGGTTTATTTAGGACAGGTCTAATAATAGCCATTTTAAAAGGTTTTGGAACATATCCAAGCTTAAGAGATGAGTTTAACACATTTAACAGGTTATTGCTAATCTGCGGTACAATGTCCTTGAAGAATTTTGTAGGAATTGGGTCTATGAGGCTAGTAGAGGATTTACAGGAGGAAATTAAGCTCAAGAGTTCTGAGTGTTTTATAGGAATGAAAGATTCAAAGGTCTTATTATTGGTAGGCATAAGACTAGCAGGAGGCTGGCAGCTGTAGGTAGCTAAGGATGTGCACTGGATGGTCTGTCTAATCTTAGTTATTTTACCATTAAAAAATGTAATAAAGTCCTCACTCTTAAGATTTTGCAGGACTTGCGAGTTTAATGAAGAATTCTGTGTTAACCTAGCCACGGATTCAAATAGGAGTAGCTCTGATGACTGACGAGTCAGAGAGAGCGACCTGGATGAGGGGGCTGAGAGTGTTGTGGAGAGTGAGGACCCACTTGTAGGGGAGATAAGTGGCATGCCAGCTGGTGACCATTGCCTCACGTTGGACAGTCTTGGTCTTCTAGAATTGAGATGGAGGTAAGGCCAGTGCCTGCCCCACGGAAGGGAAAAAAGGGAGATGCCCCCCCATTCCCCCTCTACAACAGAAGTTATAGAACCACAGCAGGGACACATAGGAACCCATTTATTTTTTGGCAATGACGTGGTCTCTTGAAGACCATCTGCACACCACTACTGTGGTGAGAATCAGAAATAGGCAGTCACCAAGGACATTGACTGGTAGCAGGGGAAAGAGTAGCCAGGTGAACAGTAGGCTTAGTGTGCCTTTAAGCTGTTCGGATGACATAGTATGATTTGATTCTGTAATTCTTACCATTTTAACTTTTCTTTCCTGTTGCGGTGGTGTTGGCACTCAGCGAAACGGCAGAATTAGCAGCATCTGTAAGATGTGGGGTGTATTGGACTCTTGGGTATGTGTCATCTTGTATTGTGACCTGATGACTGGCAGGTCATCCCATTCAGTATCCC